TTGTCTCACGATACAATGCAATGGATATGCTTACACAATATATTTTCCAATTCACATGTATTGTATCGAAATGATGTACAAAATGAATTCTATGCAGCAGCACGAGAGTAAGGTTAAAAGAAACTAAATTATTTTGTATCAGTATAGCCAGTCATATAGCTTTGAGGCAGCAACAAATGAGTTGACACAAAATAAATGCTACATATCTAGCGAAGCATATAGTACATTAAACTATATGGCATATAGCAGGTAGCAGCATGAAAAAACATTCACCACATGATGATAAAGAATGTTAGAAAAGAATAAAATGACAGGCACAAAAGAAAAGGAGGGGAATAAAAGCATATTCAACATTTAATTCTGTACGACAATTTACCTTTGCACATTTTCTCACAGTCAGCTATCAACAGTATCAACATCACTACCATAAGTTGAGCTGGATATACATATAAATAGATGTCTAAATAAATAAGTAAGAATTCAATAATGAGATTTTGAAGATCTAAACGCATTCTGTTAGCTATAGGTTGGCTGACCATCTGCTTGGTTTATAAGAGAACAGTCTTTAATTTTTCAGAAACCCAATATAATCAGTGGACATGTGGGATGTCCTCTATTTTACTTTCTTACTTCCTTACTCCCTTGGCTGGGGCGCACGTGGGCTCATTGCCGCGTTTAGAGATCGTCTGAAGACAGCTTTCCTTAGAAACCTTCTTCTTGTTCAGGATATTAAGGACTCTAGCATCCTTTTTAACACATCCAATCCACGAGATCTTCGGTCATTTTACTTCGTCATTTTTCCTCTATTTCCAAAAAATACCTGGTCATCCTAGCTATAGGTCGTTCATCATTGAAGGGGATTGGTTCTTAAAAATTCAATTTTTTGATGGACGTCATAAGTTAATGATCCCTTAATTAAACGGTGCAGAACTGATCAAAAGTGATTATATCCAACCTAGAGTCTTAATTCCAACCATAGCAAAAACTAGGAAAAAAATTAAAATTTCAAAAATATTTGTATAAAATTATATACTTCACAAGAGAAAGTTTCTGTTTGCATTGGAATTTTGAATGAAATGTTTATACTTCACAAAAGATAATTTAGGTACTGGGGGTCCTCGATTTGAGTTGTTGTTTTGTGTTAGAAAACAATTCAGTCAATTCTGAAGATCAAAATAATAAGCAAATGGAAGTTCGTTCTAAATTGAATAATGAAAAAATGCGCTAAAAAATAATAATATCACCTAGGAGGGACGTAGAGTCATTGATTTTATTATTCATTACAATTCCATTTCGGTTCCCTCCATTGAATTCTCACGACAAGTGTAAATGGTAGTTGAAAAAAAATAAGAGAATGAAGGAAAAACCTTTTTATATCATTTTATGAGTGATACATTTCAATTATTAAAATTAAAATTATTAAAATTATCTAAATACCTCTGGTAATAAACTATTATTATTATTATTATTATTATATTATTATTACAGTATCGCATTATACCTACTGCGTAATGAGAAACAAAAGAAAATAAAATGTATAAAAAGGACACCTGAGGAAAATGAAATGAAAATAGAGAGATTTAAAGGTGAAACTCATATGGATCATTAAATTTGTCATTTGTATTTTTCTCTTGCTTTTTCTGTAAGTTCATTTTAGGGGTGTACTGAGAGGCTGGAATGTGAAATTTTACCAAAATTTACTTTAGGGGTCGTTCACTTATGACGTCCAAAATTAACGTCCATTTTTCAAAAAAGAACAATGGATTTCCAGGAATTTCTATTGTTCTTTTCTTGCTGACCCCCCTCCCCCCTGGACGTCGTAAGTGAACGGCCCCTTAATTGTTTTGAGAATTTTTGACATTTATTCCATAGCTCATACAAAATGCAATTTTAGGTCCTCCTTGATCATTTTGATCTTCCTCTTAATCATTCCTGGCTAAACTCATGGAACACATTCTTGATACAATTCAATTTGAATTTAAAATAGTAGTTCATAAAGTTTAAAAATGCAAATTCCAAACTAGATACGAAAAAAAGTTTCCATACCATAAAAAGTCAATTTCATCAACATAATTAAATGATTGTGATTAAATTACGAAAAACTTTTTAAGAATATGAAAGAAAAATATTCCGTCATGCATAAGAATCAAATTTTAACCATCTGAACATCGAGAAAGCTCAATAATTGCTGACAACTGTTTGAAGAACATCGTTCAACAATAAAATATTCACAAGCTTTCTGTTTTCTTTTTCTTTGAGGTTGAGGAACTGAAACTATTTTAATTTCTTATAGTATCAAATCGTTGACAATCGGAATTAATGGTGGATCAAGTTATTTTCCATGATTTGAAGAGAATTGAGGTAAAGGACATTGATGATGCGATTGAATAGGTTTTTGTTTAAGTCATTGTTAAGCAAAGGATGTGGAGCTGATCAACCACTTTCTGATCGTTTTTCAAGTAAAGGCCCGAGCTTGACCCAAAGCAATCTAGTCCGAATTCGATATAGCTTCAAAACCCAAGCTTTCAGAAACTCTACTTTTAGTTTTGATTTGCTATTCGATTGCCAATGTCTTTGATTGTGATTTTCAGATTAAGGATATGTAAAAGTATTGAAACATCTAGAAGGAAGAAGCAAACCTCTAGATGACAAAATCACAGAAAAGAGTTTAACTCCGAATAATTTCCCTTGCGGGACTCGAACCCACGTCCTATGATTTCAGGTCGCATGCTCCTACCACTGAGTTATCGGGGGTTAGACGATTATATTGCTAAATCCCATACATAAGTTACACCCTTTTTACTTGCACCACATGATTTATCGTTGACTGGCTATAATAGGAATCGCATGTTCCAACAAAAAAGTTGATAAATCTCTGTTCTAAGAGAAACTGTAAAACCACTAAAGTATGAACATTATTTATGAACGACTCTTCAAAGAACGGGTAGAATTTGCATTTATATGAGAAATTATCGCAAAAAAATCCATTAAAAACTTGCCAATATCTTAAAATATTTCAAAATCTACATATCGAATATTAAAATTAATAAATCATAAAAAAAGACGCAGCAGCATCATAAAATCTATCAACCTTTTCTTTTTGTTTTATTGAAGAAAATCAGAAACTTTTATGGAGTAAAATTCATATGAGACTGATGTCGTTTTACAATAAATTTTCTAGTGGTAAATTTCAATTAAAAATTTTATACCCTTGAATCTATATATTGGCATTTTTCTCGATTTATCTCTCGCTTCCTTTCCTCTGTTTCTATTTTGTGCTTCCGACAGCGTTTTAATTAACCTTTTTCTCATGCTTTACATTAAATGACTGTAAAATAATGAAATTTATCTCGTTAAAAATAAGTGTTAAAGTTGGAGAGAAAGAAGACACGACATCGAAAAATAGAATTGAGAGGAAGGAAGGAAAGCGACAAAGGCATTTCGCCTTTTAATTTATTGTCTTGGTTTTGTGTTTCTCCTTATTCGTGGCTCGATATTTCGGTGTATAGTGAATGAATTTCTGTTGAATATGTTACAATGTTCATACATCCGCAAGACTATATTACAGGATGCAGGAATGTTTACATTGACTTTCAATTTATAGCTTATGATGTTTAATTGACTGTACAATGTATTCATTTATCGAGCTCATGTTGCACATGCATTAAGCAATTAGGTACTGATGTAAAGTCAATTAAACATTCATACATGCATGCCTTTGGTGTTGATATCATACAAATCCCTGTAATATCAAAGTTTAACCCCTCAACCTTCTTCACCGCACTAAACCATCAAATTAATCTTGAGCTAGTGTATTGAAACAATATTTACGGTATCGCTACATGCTGATCGGATTCCACAGAGAACGATAAATAAAAATCGGTTAAAGTATTTAACCGCTTCATTGATTTATGTGTCGTTACTCTCCTCTTCACATCTGACGTTAACATCAAAACGTCTAACTTTATTTAGTAGATATAGTCGGAATCCTTTTCTCCTCCATTACTTACTCTCCTTCATATTATACATCACAATCTATCGTTTAAGATTATTTTGTTTCGATTTTTGTTCTTCGTTTGCTATCTTCCAACTTTTGGGAGCACTTTTGTGAAGTATAAGGTTGCACTTTGGTATTGTTGCATACTGTTTAGAGCTAGTCGCGAGCTGATGATGATGATGGTATCTAGGCTTCCTAACGGGGGAGTTTTAAGCGTTAACGAAGCTAATGTTGCATGTTCAAGTCCCTAATTCTAGTAGCACCTTTAAGAGATTAGATTCCTCTTAGGTTTGGAGTAACTCAGCATCATGAACTTCGAAAAATGCTTTCTAGTTATCAATACTCGATCTCAAAAACTTACTTGCTCCTGTACTGAGTATTGCTCGATAGATGCCCCAAGAGCTTCTTCATCTGCCTTTCAAATCGTGATTCTTCCCGCTGTCTGTCTTTTTAGTTGAGTGTGAAAAATTACTAAGGGAAATTAAAAAGTTCGAAAAACTGTAAATTGATTTTTGTTTGTGGTTTGGTTTTTTTTTCTGTTGATTTATTGTGGTAATGGATACAGAAAATGTTGTTTGTTAAAAATATAATTAAATGGATAACAGTAGATGTCTGAAGTGTCATGGTTGATCATGAAGTGGGTAGAATGTGATTTTTTTTTAATGAAATACGAAATTGTGGATATTTTCTATTGGGGAATTGAACTCTAAATTTGATTAGAATAGTTTGTTTTTGTAGAACTTGAGCTAGAGTAAGTAGTTATTGATGGAAATAAGTTTTAATCTTATTAGGAGCCGTTTACTTATGACGTTCGACATTTAGGGGGGAGGGGAAGGGGGTCTAGGATTTTGTGACAGTTCAAACAATGGAAATTTTTTTCTATAGAATTTTTGTGACAGAGGGGGGAGGGGGTCTTAAAATCAGGTTTTTTGATGGACGTCATAAGTGAACGACCCCATAGGTAAGATAAAGCGAATAAAAACTTAAATTTCAACAAATAAAATCAATTTATAATTTTAATAAATTTATTCAGTCTTATTACAATCTATGGATTCTCATAACATGTCAAGCCTTCCAAAACACACCATTCGTTCCAGCTTCCTTTGTAATATTTAACGCTAAAGTCAAAAATATTCATCAATTAATAAAAAAATATTTAAATAAATCAGTTCAAACTTACTCTGTATATCCCTTAGCTGTGATTTGTTCGTATGCAAGTTTAGCTCTTATACCTTTTTTGCAAAGAAATATGATGGGATCATTAATGTCAGGTTTTGCGCGGTTATAAGTTTGTTGAAATTCTTCTGGACTTAAATCAAACGCCGCTTCAAGATTCACCACTAAAATTTACAATAATAATTAGGGACATAGTAAGTATGAATAATTAAGAACTCACTCTGAACATTAGTTGGATCATTTGGATATTTTCCAGTCTCAACAAGCTCAATTTTCTCTCTTACATCGAAAAAGTTATTTTTTGGATTTTTAAATCCTTCTTTAACTTCTTGATAAGACAAGATTTCACTTGCACTGCATGCCAATAGACAGGAAATTGATAACAGAATCGTGAACTTTAAAAAGCTGTTCATCTTAATGCGAACTTTACTCCTCGACTTACTGAATCGTAATGAATTGACGCTTGAATCTTTTAGATTATATTATATGATGAGCGATATTACAAACAATACATTAAGCATGAGAGAATATTTAACTGATAATTAAGTGTGATGAATATGTGTCAATAGAATATTGACGATTTAAACTTGATTTTTGTGTTGATTTGTTTATTAAAATAAGGAAATAATTAATAACAAATGGGATTGTTCACCAGTGATATCTATTGAAAATTAAGATTTCTAAGTATTCTTCTGTTAAGTGGATTGTTCATTAACAAAGATGCTAAGTCACAATCTTTAAAGCATTATTTTTAAAACAGAAATTACCAAAATTTTTTAAAGATTTCTATCAAAAAAATTGAATTCATAATCAATCAGCCAGTATGAAAAACACAGAATAGAATAGATGTAGCAACAAACTCTCATCAATCAAGTCTAACCAAATATTGAGATTGAAAAGATTTCACCAAATATACAATTTTAAATTGCACAAAACTATTTTTGCTATGTGGCGATGGCTAAGAGGTAGAATATAAATAAAACAGCCATATAAATTGTCCGATATAAATGCAATCAATATAAAAAGGAAGCTAATCAATAGATTTCTAATTATAAATTTTGAACTAGTCACACAGATTTTGTAAACATTTCATCATTAAGAGTTGTCCTTAAAATTCAATTGAATTCTCATGTAGTAAATGAAACTTTTAATTAGAACTATCAACAGCAATGTTGTCACAATTCTCATATTTCTATGTAACAAAGCAGTTACGTTATGTTTTATTTCCTCGACAATTTATGCTTGTAAAAAAAGTTTCAGCAATTGTGAAATAAAGATTGAAATATATGTGAAACCTTTTTTTTTATTCTCATAGACATGTCCTGAAGGGATTTCACAGTTTCGCGCTTATTTGATATGAAACAAAACCACAGCATCATCCAACACTGATTTTGATGTATGCACAGTAGCAATGAAGTGAACAAAAAGTGTTGTATGAAACTATTTGTTTGCATGACATGATAACACGAGATTTTGATTAAAACAAGAGCTTCATTTAATTTCTCTTCAATTTTTTTATGTGTAATTTTTTATGACAAAGTTTCATGAAAAGAATTTATTTCAACAAAAGCGAACATTTAATATTGTGAAAAGGAGGAAGCTGTTCAGCGATATTTATAATATTTTTTTTTGTTGTAAAAATAAAGCTTTGTTATTTGATGAAAAATTTGCAGATGTAAAAAGTATGAGCTGTCATTGTTCGATTGCCTCTGGGAGTATGATAAAAATTCAATAGACATTCTGTTCATATCAAAAGTTCAACGTTCTTTTTAAAGATAACTATTGGAGAGAACTAGATTGTTTAAGCGACTATTATGTTTCTGCTTTAATAATAAGAAGCACTTTTCTTGATATCTGAGATTTACATTTAATGGAGAAATTTCGATCAGTTCTTCGACTTCGACTTCGAGCTTTGGTCATCGGTCATCGACAGCCACCGTTGGAACTTCCATACCCTTGAATTCCAGTTAAGAAAGGTTTGGGTTGAAGTTAACCACATGATAGGAGAGGCTAAGCACAGATCAGTGCGTTGAATACCCTTGGACTCCGTGTCTTAGATTTTAAATAAAAAACAAGCGAAATAAAAACATAAAATCCACCAAAACTCAATACTAAAAAAAAATGTCTATGGCTATTTCATCAGATGTGATTAAAGTCACGTCTCTGCAATAGAAATATTTGCATTTAACAGAAAAGAATAAAAACGATGTGTGTGCAAATATGAAACATGTTTGCATATATACAATATAGTTATGATGTCATGAGCAAAAATGGGTAGAATCAAATAAAAATGTTAACAGCATCAGCAGACAGCCGTTGGTGTTTTCTATACAAAAAACATATTACTATGATAGATGAGAAAATATGAAGAACAAGCCACAGAACATGGAGAGAAAAAAAATTTGCTGATAAACCAATCAATTATTGACACATATTGATGTTGGATGTACTTCTATTTTCTATATAAATACAAATATTTTTTCGCGTATCCACAGACAAGTTATATCAGTCAGTTCTATCCTATTCAAAGCATGCATATGTTATTTATTTATACAATAAAAAAAATGGCTAAAGTTCAATAGCTTTTGACTTTGTGGAAAGGCATACATGAGCTATGTATTGTAGCATGAGCAGAAATAACAAGATTGAAGAATGTGTCAGAAAAATCAAAACTTTTTCGCTTTTCCTTTCCTTCTCATGGAATTTTTTTTTCACTCTTCAATTAGATTGCTTCAGCACCTCGGCATGGAATCAATAAAGAATATGAAGTAAAATGAAACCGACAAGGGGCAAAAGCGAGGAAAAGAAAAGGAAAAGGAAAAACTTTTTCCATTATTGCTTTGGCGTTGAATATATTTCATGCGATTTATCAAATATTAAATCGTTTTACGGTTTCCTGAAGCTGCTATATAGTTGTGCGTATATTAAGTGGAGCAGGGTTGAATCTGTGGTTGAATATTTTTGAATTGTCAGACATCTGGGATTAGAATGATTAATTTTAGGTTAGAATTTTAATGATTTCTTTACATTGAAGGCAGTTTACATTTATAAGTCTGACATTACATTTTCTGTTTTTTTTTTGTAGTCAGAGGTCATTTTTCGAACTATTTTAAAATTCTTAAATTTTGCAAAGAGGCTTCAAGGTTTTAACGTTGTAAGTCAGTAATTCTCAAGCTTTCCTTTTATGAATTCCTGAAGCTAATGCAACGCACTGTTACTTAAAAATTTTAAAACCAGGATCCAGAGGAATTGATTGTTGATGTCGACGACGAGGATGTCGATTGTACTAGTTTGACCCGAGATTCTGATGTGCTTGTTCGAGCATGAGGTCTGGCGAACCGTCACTAGTAAAATTATGATTAGCCCAGAAAAGCCTATAAAGCGCAGCTATGAATATTAAGGTCTGAACATCTGAAGTTCATTTCTTTTTCATGCCATATAATGCTTGCTGTCCCATCCCTATCATACTTTTCTTTGAACTCAATTTCCTCATTTCTGATTTCGTTCATGAAAAAATAAATTTGATGACAAATACACGAGGCGATAAAAAAAACTTTTTTTTCTCACACACAATCTACAGCAATTTATTTTCATCAGAAAGAGAAAGAACAGAAGGAATAGCAGTGTTTGATATTAAGCACATTGAAAAGAGAAAGAGTTGTTGATTCTTGTGAGTTTTGACACTTTTACGAGCTCTTGAATGATTTTTATCCTTCATATAGAAGCCTTTTTTTGCATTTCTCCTCCTGCTTCATGCGTGAAATGTCGCTTATTGTTTATGTATCGAATTTAGTGGTTGGAATGAAAAATTGCAGACATGAAAAAAATGATTTTTTTTTCTTCCTCTATTCACTCGTGTACAGCTCTCAAAATCGAGTGTCGAATGATTTTTTTTTGTCATGATTTATACAAGCACTAATATCGAAGATTGGATAGATTGTATTCTAGGTTGGCACGTGATGATAAAAAAAAAGTTTGATTGCATTTTATTTTGGAATAGGATGTGGATCACATCTACAAAGGAGTGGCAGGAAATGAATGATGTTGCAATTTAATTTTTCTAGCTATTTCATGTCGCAGACACCTTCCGACATGATTCAATGCAGCATTTTTCTCTAAATTAAAAAGGAGCTTTTGGGATGTGTTGGAAATTTATCAAATGCCATTCTTAGCTATTTTGTATTCCTGTTTTTGATTCCAAAAAAACTTAGGAGACGACAATTTTCATTAAAAAATACTTTTAGGGGGTCGTTCATAAGTGAGGTGTAATGAGGAATGAGTATGAAAGACTTTGTAATTATTCTGAATTTTTCACTCTCACGTGGACCTTGTTATGGACCAGATCAGTCCTAAATATTGATGGACAATCTTTAAACTTCTTGCCGTAGTCTTTTGTTCAGACCTGATACTTTCAACTATGCCGTAACTAAACAAGTGTGAATGCCTTACGTATTCAATATATCCAAAATCCTTTGCCATATTTGCCTTTTTGAAAGTTATAAATTGTTTATTTTTCTGCAACTTTTATTCAAAAATTTGAAGAATTTTGTATAAAATGAAGCATGTATCTAGTTTCATAAGTTTCTTCATCCTGTTAATATTAATGCGATAATCTCAATAACTCACATTTGATACTTATTTTCCTACACATCCACAAGTGGGCTGTTAAATGACAAAGTTTTTCGTCTATCCAGAATTTTTTTTTCAACAAAAATTCTTTCTCAAACTTTTCTTGAATAGATGTACAAATTTTTATCTTATAAGTATCATAAACGCTTATGTGAGACATAATCCAGAAAGCAAACAGATAACACTTATGTTTAGCGGCAATAAGATTAAATCTTGTTTATTTATCCGCTATACTTTTAGTTTGTCAACTTGTGATGTTCTTCTTATATCGAATTAAGTTGTTTGATTGTGTCAACAGAGATATTTGAGGTTGGTATTGACGCATGGAATGAGAGGTTAAGAGTTATTTTCAAAAGGGGGTTTGAGGGATGTCGTCGATATTTGATGATAAAATCTGCAGATTTACGATTTTTAGGGGGAGAAAAGTGGCTCTCAAACTATATGCCGCGGTACACACTGGGTGGGGGTCGAAAGTCAAACATATGAGAATATTACACACATACAGCCGGACATACAGAAAGCATATATGAAGATGTGCAAATACTAACAGAAGGCTGGCAGCCATTCAAACTAATATCCAAAGAGGACTCAGTCACAAAGCAATTCAAAGTTTTATCCATTTCCAAAAAAGCTTTAATAAATCACAAAAAATCTTCAAAGCTGCTTAAAGTTTGCCATATAAATTGGGTTAAGCTGAAACCATTATTTTGTTACCATAATTCGTGAATATAAAATAAATGCATGTCGAGCTTGCCCCCAAGAGTATTTTTCTTTATGCATGCATCCCCTTTTAAATTTCCTTTCAAGTCATGCG